TGCCGTGCCCTGCTCGGGGACCCAGGCGTGGCAGAGGGCAGGATGCCAGGAAGTTCCCCGAAAGGGCGAGAAAGCGAAACTGGTACTACACCGTATGTGTACCCCTGCAGACGCTCTCACGGAAGTGGCGTTGCTCTGAACCTTGTCAGCCTCCCGCGTGTGTCGCTGCAGCGCTTCATCCTTGCGGGGCCTCCCGCCGTGCCCGTCCCCACAGGGAGCAGCTCCCACCATCCCCAGCGTGCGGCACAGCCCACCTGGCCAAAGGGCGGAAAGGGCACCCACTGGGTGTCTCTTTAAGAGCATGCCTGGCTGGGTGCCCTGACCCGCCTCTGAGCTCAGCGTCACCAGCTCTTCCTCCTCTGCACAGCTGAGTTTCTATTTCCCTGGCTTCTTTCTCCCATTGCCCTGATCCCAGCCGCAGGCAGGATGGCACCACCCGTGTCAGAGAAGCTGGAGGAGAAGCTGGTGTGCTCCATCTGCCTGGAGCTCTTTAGGGTGCCCGTGACCTTGCCCTGCGGGCACAACTTCTGCAAGCACTGCATCGGCGGCCACTGGCACAAGCAAGAGCAGGCCCCTGCTGGGGCCGAGAAGGGCTACACCTGCCCCGATTGCCGCAGGGGCTTCCAGCAGCGCCCGGCGCTGGAGAAGAACGTCACTCTCTGCGGCGTGGTGGAGCTGGCGCGGGATGGCAAGGCGCGAGTCTCGGGCACGGAGAGGTGCGAGGTGGCCAGCAGCGAGCTGTGCCCGCAGCACGGGCGCCCGCTGGAGCTGTACTGCGAGGACGAGCGGCGCTGCATCTGCTGCGTCTGCACCGTCCGGCGGTGCCAGCAGCACCGGCGGGTGCTCTTCGAGGAGGAGCGCTCTAAAAAGCAGGTGGGGACAACGGGTGGCAGGAGCGGCGTCGTGGGGAGGGAGCAGGGGGAGCGGCGTGACATCCGTCCCCGCTGTCCTGTGCCCTGCTGTGGGGACGTGATGTGCCTCCATGTGCTGAGCTGCGCCTGGCCTCAGCTGAAGGTGGGGCTGGCACTTGCTCTGAGCCGGAAGATACCACCAGCACCCAGCTGCCCCCTGAGAAACTGGGGACTGTTGGGAGCGGCAGAGTTGGGTAAACCCAGCAGCATCGGATGAACGGTGCTGTGTGACCCCCTGATCTAGAGGAAACAGCTAAAAAGGGGTGAAAGACAGCATTTCACCTCTCGGTGACCCTGGTCACATCCTCTCCCCTTCCCAAGCCTTTTTCCCTGTGAGCCTTCTCCTGCAGCCCTGAGAGAGCTCCTGGGGCCGGGTGAGCAGCAGCGTGCTGCGCCGCAGAGTGTTGGTGCCTCCCTTCGCAGGCCCTTTTAGAAGAGTCCCTGGAAAAAGCCCTTGAGGAATTGGAGAGGATCAAGCGGGCGATGCAGGAGCTGGAGGAGCGCACGCACAGCATCAAGGTAATGCCACGGTCACCCCGTGGGGGTGCATGGGTGGGCGTGGGCTGGCTCTCACGGCTCTTCCCGGCGTAGGACTCCTCCGAGGGGCTCAAATCGGTGATTCTGAGCAAATTTGCTCTCCTGAGGAAAGCCCTGGAAGATAGCCAGTGGTGGACGGTGGCTAGGATCGAGCAAGAGCAGGCGGTGGCGCTGGGACGTGTGGAGGAGGACTGGAGTCTCCTGAAGGACCGCCTGGACGTCCTCAGCCAGCACCAGGAGAGGGCTCAGCACCTGCTGGCCTGTCCTGACCACAGGACCTTCCTCCAGGTACGGTCCTGGCACCGTGTCCCTCCCCACACTCGGGTGCTGCCGGCCCTGCGCCCTCCCAGTGGGGGCAGAGACGTGGTTGATCCCTTCCCCATCCTCAGCCTGGCTCAGGGATGTTGTGGGGCTGTGGGAAGGGGCTGCTTCCAGGGGCGTGATGCTGGATCAAAGTGGAGGATGCCAAAGGCAGAATCTCCTACCCCCAAACCACTCAGCAAGGCTCTTCCACTGCCAGCAAAAAGCAAAGTCCTGTGCCGCAGCCCCTCTGCTCCCCGCAGCCTCCCGCTCCCCCTGGGCTGTCCCCCAACCCTGTGTGCCAGCCTCAGCTAACGGCTGACGTGACCCCCCTACCACCCACTGGGGAGACATGGTGTGTGCAGACACATTTCGGATCTGCCGATCCTCCCCCAGCCAGCGCATGGGTGTCTGTGTGTCCCTCCGCAGGAGTTTCCCCTGCTCCCACCCCCGGAGAGCCTGGAGGCTCTGCTCCCAATGGAGTTCGATGCAGCCAGTGTGTTCAAGCCCATCACCGAGATCCTCGCCGTCATCTCCAGGCTTTTGCTGGAGGACCTGCCCGGCTCTGTGGCCCCCAAAGCCCCTGACCCCATGGGCCAAGGTAAGCCCTCTGCTCGCAGGACCACCCCAGAGGGCTCCAGGTCACCCTGAACCACAGCCTGGCCGGTGTCACGAAGCTGGGGACGGGGCTGCTGGGCGCAGGGGCTCAGGAGGGGGACACGCATCTGCTGTTCAGGGGATGGCATGGCATGGCATGGCATGGCATGGCATGGCATGGGAGGCTTCCTGTAGTCCCTCCTCGCTGGCAGTGCAGAGCCTCAGTGACGTGTGCCTGCTCTCAGGCTTGGGTATGATGCATTTCCTCCCTCTGCCATCAAAGCTGGGAAGTGACAAGTTTTTGGGTGACATCACTCAAAATGCCTGTCCCACTCCTCCACAGGCACAGTGCAGCCCGAGGAGCCAGCGGTGAAGGTGGTGGCTCCTGTCCCTGAGTGTAAGCTCCGAGCTGAGCTTCTGAAGGGTGAGGAGCACATGGGGATTTGGGGGGACAGTCCCCCACTGTGGTCGTGGCTGTGGTGACGGGGACTCCTTCCCTGGCTCTCCCACTACTTCTCCCTAAATGTGGCGAAGGGTGATGTAGGGCCGGGGGAGACAGGCTGGGGGACAATGCGTTGCCAGGAAAGGGCTCATTGGGGGTTAGCAGCACCAGCGACTGCTTTTCCATGGAAACTGGAGCTGCCAGTGCCCAGCACTGGGCCAGTCACTGCCCCAGATCTCACCCCATCTCCATCCTCTCCTTTTCACTCACCTCGGGCATCTCGGCTGGGCAGGAGCAACGTGCCTGTTCCCAACGCCCCATGTTTAGGCACAGCTCTTTCCATAGGCATCAGGCAGCGTCGGCAGTCGGGGAGGGACCCCCCGCAGGGGTGTCATGGGCTGTCCCCTGCCCTACCCCCGCAGCTCCAGGCCAGGGCCCTGCCTGCAGACATGGCTCTCTATCCAGCAATGTGGCCCCAGCGCTCCTAGCCACGGTCCTTTGTGTCCCCTTACGTCCCAGGGCCCATCCCACTCCAATTCCTTAGGGATTTCCTCAGTGGTCCTTTTCCCACCTCCTCCCTGTTGGGAAGAGGGTTGGATAATGTTTAGGGAGTGTTGGTCATGTTACTCCTATCATGGAGGCAGTCGATGCCTATGGGAACCGTAAGGATTCCTTCCGTCAGACCCCACAGAAGATGATCAGGGTTAATAGTAGGAAATAAAATGTCGTTTAGGGGCAGCAGGCCTAAGCCCAGCTTAGCTGGCCAGGCTGGGTTGTGACAGGAGGAAGGTGAGGTGCTGGTGGCCCGCGAGTGCCCGCAGCAGGAGTTACCACAGCCCATGTAGAGGAGGGTAACTCCCTGCGACACCATGTTTACTCACTTAACGCCTGGTTCTCTCTCCCTCTCCCCATCCACACTCATGTTTTTTGTTCTTAAAACCAAGCAAACTCTCCCAACCTGGTCACAGAGCCGCCGCCGCCCGCGGGCTGTGAGCTGGGCTGCGCGAAACGTCGTGTCTCAGGGCCTCACCAGCTATTTCTGGGCTGTTTACGTTCCTTCTAGCAGCTGGGTAGGCAGGTATCGCATCTCACCTGGCTCCCCTTCCCCTCCAAACACCCCATGACCTGTGCCTTCCTATTTGGGGAGCCAACCCTATGCAGCTTAAACCACATCACCATTGGGGGGGCTCATGCCAAGGGCGTAAAGGTCTGATTTCAGCCTCACCCATGCCATTGCTTTCCTCAGACCATCGCAACCTGACTTTTGATCCCGAAACGGCCAACAAGTACCTGGAGCTGTCAAAAGGAAACCGGAAAGCCAAGCACGGCCGCGGAACGGTCTGTAGACGGCAGGAGCAGGGACCACACTTCGTGCCCTGGCAGGTTCTGTGCACGCAGAGCTACAGCCAAGGCCACCACTACTGGGAAGTGAGGATCTCCAGCCACTCCGTCATCCTGGGGGTGACCTACCGCAGCCTCCCCCGGGAGCGGCAGCAGGGCCACAAGTTCAACATCGGGCTGGACGGGGGCTCGTGGGGGCTGCAGGTGCGGGAGGATTGCTACCTGGCCTGGCACAAGGGCCGGGCAGAGAAAATCCAGGAGCTGCTCTATAAGAACCTGGGGGTCAGTCTGGATTATGGCAAGGGGCTCCTCTCTTTCTACGGCCTTGGGGAGAGGACACAGCTCATCCACTCCTTCCACAGCATCTTCACCGAACCCCTTTATCCCGTCTTTTGGCTGTGCGAGGGGCGAGCGGTGACGCTGTGCTTAAGGGAAGGAGCCGGAGCTGGTGCTGCAGCTGAGCTGCCCCCGGGGCTGTCACAGGCTGAGTGGGACCCCGATGCTGGGGCAGGAGTGGAGTGTGGTGTTTTAACAAGAAATGATGAGGACAGGCATGCAAATTAACCCTGTTTTATTTGCATATGCAAATGTGATGCTGGTGACCCAAGTTAGGGCAGGGGAAAGGATGCAGGGCTAAGGGCTGTGGCCATGCCATGGGGATGGAGCCCCTGGACATGGGGGCAGATGTGGAGGTTGAGGAGCGTGCAAGGAGTTTTTCCTCTTTCTCCTCCTGTCCCAACCAAACCTCTGAAGCCTGGAGAAGATTTGAGGTGAGGGAGACCCCAGAGTGGGGAAGCTGCAGCCCTACAAGATTGCTGCGGGGTAAGGCAGAGGGAACACTGTGCTCCCCCAGTCCCATGTGCAGGCAGGCCCTGCTCCCCCAGCCCCTCCCGCTCCCCTCTTTCCTCTCCGGACGTGGCAGAGCAACTTTTTGGGGTGCCATGCTGCAGTTGCTCTTTGTAAGAAGCTGCTTTCCCCAATAAAGCTCTATTTTCCTACCGGTTTGACTGCAGTGCTGGTGGGACCTGTGGGAGCAAGGAACACTGTGTGTGTGGGGGGTGTGTTGTCTGGGTGCCCCTGCTCCTGCACCCATCCCTGCGTGGCCCCCTCCTGCCCCTCTGCATCCTCACAGGGATCATAGAATCATAGAATCACAGACTGGTTTGGGTTGGAAGGGACCTTACAGATCATACAGATACAC